AAAATTATTTCAGGGTTTAGGGTTTAGGGTTTAGGGGTTTAGGGTTTAAGGTTTAGGGGCTTAGGGTTTAGGGTTTCGGGGTTTCGGGGTTTAGGGTTTAGGGTTTAGGGTTTAGGTTTCTTGACTTTACCCATAGGGCCCATAGTAGTTCCCTTTCTGGGGTTATATACCTTATAGGATTCTATATATGAACCCCAAAGAGGAGCTATTTTAGGGCCTATGGGTAATTGCCAATACTACTTTAGGAGGGTTCCTTCATACAAGTACAGTATAATTGGCTCAAAATAGGCGGCGTAAATAATTCGAACACCCTTTATACTGTAAGAGGAATCCCCAGAATATAGGTAATTACTTAGGCCCCTACATTACAGACAGAGGTTCAACGACACGGCTGCTATCGCCCAGGTTGAAGCCGAAAAGGAGGCGGATCGCCAACACCGACAGCGAGATCTACCGCAAGCCTAGGGCAGGAGGAGAGGAACAGTATACAACAAATATGGAAGCCTGAGAAACTCTTCTTGCATGATTAATTGACGCAGGGCAACTCACGACCTTGAGTGGAAACTCAACTTTCCCGAATCGAGCAGTATTTCGACGAGGATGGCGAGGAAGTCCATACCCAGACGGGATTTACGCCGGTGGACATGGTTATTCTTACGGAAAAGGCGACTTGCAGCGCTCCAGCTTCTTTCGAACGGCGGCGAGATTCCAGTACGTACTGCACACCGACGATTCGGTGGAAGTCGTCTCGGAATTGTCAACATCCGCAGAAACTGTCCAGGCCGACCGAAGCTTTATGCCCAGGCAAAGGTTTTAGGAACCCAAAGCCTCTAATCACCCTAAACCCCCAGCACACAGCCTCTGATAGCCCTAAACCCCCAACCCAAAGCCTTTAAACTCCAAGCCCCCAACCCAGAGCATCTTAAGCTTCTATGTTTTCGGGCGGTGGAAGGCTGCGATACACAAAGCCGTAGGGGCCTTCGGGAAAAGGAAGCCCTTAATAAGGAATCCTTACAAACAGCCTTTCAAGGAACCTTTCAGTCTCTGGGGTTCAGGAAGTTTATTGATGTAGGGTTTAGGGTTTAGGGGTTTAGGGTTTAGGGTAAACTTCTAAACCCGAAAACCCTGGACACCATGCCCTGAACAGTCTGCGCCACCCGCGGGAAGCGCTTTCCGCGGCATGAAGACGGGCTTTCTGAACTCCGACAAGGCTCAGTGAAGAAATTGGGGGGTTTAGGGTTTAGGGTTTAGGGCCTAAGTTTAGGGTTCTTGACTTTACCCATAGGCCACATAGTAGTTCCTTTTTGGGGTTACCTTATGGGATTCTACATAAGAACCCCAAAAAGGTACTACTATGGGGCTTAGGGGTAAGGCTCCTAAGCCTTAGGCCGTTGAGGGTTTCTCGTAGGACATGTGGCTTTTGTTTAAGGATTCTCGGATCTGGTTTTCTGCAGTAGGCTTTAGTTGTAGACCTCGCTCTTGCAATTTGGGTGCAGTTTTGTGGTTCTGCATGTCATGTGACACAAGTCGTCTCACCACATTTAGTAATCTGTTGTCTGCAACAAGCATAAGCCCTTGAGCAGTGTTCGTTCGGGATCTCAAGTTTCTTAAACAAGACAACCAGATGAGCAGAGCCTGTTTAAATCCACCCCCGTGTAGGGACGTGACCTTCGAAACCTATTGCTTACAACAAACCCTAAACTGTGTGTCTGGGCTCCTTTGCCAACCTTTTCATTAACATCCCCTGTGTCGCGAAGCCCGGGATTTGGGACTGAAGATACTTGAATTAAGGAGCCCTCAGAAACAGTATTTGTAATTCCTCAGGCCCTAAAACGAAGTTACCACAATGGATCGGGATTTATGGTTGATGCCTGAACCCAAAACCCTAAACCCCCTAAACCCTAAACCCCAAAACCCTAAACCCTAAGATAGTGAAGTCATCGGAGCAGAGATCTTCACAGGCCAAGCGGCGAAGCCTTGCAGAGAAGGCACCAGAGACGGCCCTCGAAGACGCTACTATATTAGTTAGGGTTTTAGGGTTTAGGGTTTTAGGGTTTTAGGGTTTAGGGTTTAGGGGTTTAAAAATATTACCTATACTATGTTTTGGGGGGATTCCTTATTCAAATTATAGACGCTAGCGCTGTGAAGGGCTTAGGCTTTAAATAATTACCTATACTATTTTTGGGGAGTTGCTTAGTATGATTATTGTATATTTTACCCCCAAACCCTATTCTAGTTATGACGGCCCCTACACGGGCTTAGGGTTTTGTGGGAATATACGGAGCTTATAAGGTTTGGGACTTATAGGGTTTAGGGTTTAAGTTTTAGGGCTTAGAGTTTTGGACTTGTAGGGTTTAGGGTTTAGGGCTTAGGGGTTTGAACTGATAGGGCTTAGGGTTTGGGACTTATAGTGTTTAGGGCTTAAGGTCTAAAGCTTCGGGCTTAGGACTTGTATGGTTTAGGGCTTGGGGCTTAGGGTTTAAGATTTATAGGGCTTAGGGTTAAAGGTCTAGGGCTTAGGGTTTAGGACTTATAGGGTTCTAAGGGTTTACAGGGCTGAGGGTTCAAACCTTTGGGGAAGCCTGAGAAAGTGTAGAACAGTCAAACAGAACCGTAAACAGAACCGTAAAACAGAACCGTAAACCCAACACCCCAAACCCCAAGCCCCAAAACCCCTAAACCCCAAAACCCAAAACTCTAAAACCGTAAACCCTAAACCCTCCTAACACCCCAAGCCCTAAACCCTGAATCCAAAACCCTAAACCCTAAACCCTCCTAACACCCCAAGCCCTAAACCCTGAATCCAAAACCCTAAACCCTAAACCCTCCTAACACCCCAAAACTCTAAACCCTAAACCCTCCTAACACCC